CTACAATGTAAATACAGCACAACAATAAAGCACATAATTAAAACAAATAACATAATATTTCAAAAAGAGGCTGCTGTAAGTACTGGTATATGTATTAGAAGCCTATAAAAATATGTAACAAACATTAACATATATATATATAATGATTTATTTAAAACAATCAACATCAGAATTTTGGCGAACTATTAAGATAAGAAAAGCAAATAACAGATCGTCTAAAAGCCAGGTAAGTCCACAAAGTAACAAAACAAAACCAAAGATTACACTTCTTATTTCCTCATATTTGAACTCATGGTATTTGACATCCAGGCTTAAATTCTCTGACACAGAAATCTTCATGACTTTTAACCATAAAATCTGTGTAAGCTTGTCGTGCCGTTTCCTCCATGTTTTTCCCTTCCACCACAGATGGGACATCCAGACATCTAGTGTGTATTGGCTGTTTATTGCATTTTATCTATCAGATATGTTTTGCTGATCTTGTCAGATGTGGTTGCATAATGAAATTTAGTGCTTTTGATCTGACCAGCCCTATGGATGTGCCACTTTGTGACTGTTGTCGGGTTACAGCTTCCAGTTTACATTGATAGTGCTGCAGTTTAGTTTTTAGTCTCAGGTGTGAGGTCCCTGGATGATGTGCTAAATAAAGCAGTCAAGGACTCCGGTAAGGATGGATGTTCCTCTTCGTCGTCAGAAGATGCAGTGTCTGTGTCACTAAATATTCTCCAGACTTGTCAGCAGTGCAGCATCTCTGGGTCCACAACTTGCAGCTCCAGAATGTCATCATCTGTCAGCACTGATAAAAGAATGACAAAGAAAATGCATCAGAGTACAGAGCAGTATTTCAAAGCTAGCAGCACCAATGCATATTAAATATCATGAAAATAGAACAGAGGAAAACAAAAAGAGTAAACCGAGGACAAGGCTAATCATTTATACCTTTTCATCTTTGTCTCGGTCTCTGAATTAGTTTAGTGTGTGCACAAATACAGAAAGAACACAATCAGGACTCTGCTAGTCCAGTGACGTCTCCCCTGTAAAGAAGGCACACGCGTACGCGTGTTTATTAGCAACTAGCTAATAACTAGCTAACAGCTATAAATTGTGGATCTACACTTTGCAAACAACTGTTGAAAACAAGAGTTTCTATTGAAATAAAATTATAGACACACAGCCTTACCTGATATAAAATGGGCACCGCAGACCCGTGCAGTCCAATCCACCCGTTTGACAGCCTGAAGCCACAGACGCCTTCGGTGGCTCTGAAAAAGTTGATTACCTCTTGGTATACGGTAGAATTTAAGCCCATCCTGTGAATACCGGTTTGAACAACCGTAAACGCAACAACCTGACATTTTGATTCTGGTGATGGTACTTATTTAGCGTTAGATTCAGTGTTATGATGGAAGACTGCCTGGGTTCACCATCCGAAGCAGTACTTCCGTTGCCACGATGCGCGCAGCTTCTTTGTTTACTAACACTGAATGCGTATATATATATATATATATATATATATATATATATATATATATATATATATAGATGTGTGTGTGTGTGTGTGTGTGTGTGTGTTTAATTCAATCATTTTAATAATCTGTATTCTTTTTAGTTTATCAGAAACTGGGTGGAGTTTGCATGTTCTCTCCGTGCATGCGTGGGTTTTCTCTGGGTACTCCGGTTTCCTCCCACAGACCAAAAACATGCATGTTAGACTGATTGGTAACTCTAAATTGTCCCTAGGTGTGAGTGAGAGAGTGAATGGTTGTTTGTCTCGTTTGTCTCTGTGTGGCCCTGTGATGGACTTGTGAGCCGTCCAGGGTGTACCCCGCCCCTCGCACAGTGATTGCTGGACATGGGCACCAGCGACCCCCGTGACCCAAAATGGAATAAGCGGGTAAAGAAAATGGATGGATGGATGGGCTTCAGTTCAGACAGCCGCCTCAGTTGAAAGAAGCATGATTTAACAATCATGTTTACATGATTGTTAAGTTTCAGGGAAGGGTCCATTATCACGCCCAGATTAGTGACTCTTTGTTTCTCTGACAGGGTTAGAGCGGAGAGGTCGATGCAGTGGTTTGTGATCGTGTTGTTGGGAGGGAACAACATGACTTCAGACTTCTTTTCATTGAAACTTAAGAAGTTTAAAGCCATCCAGACCCTGATGTCAGTATAAGATGTAACACACATGGTTAGATTAAGTGAATCGTTGTTGTATGCTTTCAGATATTTAATTGGAATTTTTACTTAAACCATACAAAAAGTGTAGTGTGATTTATTTGGTCATTAATTTTATGTTGACAAAAACACGGAATCTCACATCACACCTACTTTTTAAGTCATTAAATTAAAATTTCTGAATGTTATCTTGGAATTTACATCTTCCACTGATTAACATTTGGAGCCAACCCAAATCAAGATGACCATCACTGTTAACTAAGCTTAGCAAACACTATATTGACTAGAAATCCTTTAGTTATACAGACATAGTGCTCAGATTTGATGTAGTTGTATCTGAGATTGATTCCCAACCTATCACGTCAACAGCAAAGTCCATGCTCAATAATCCAGGTATAATCCAACATTTTTCAGTCAGGTCATCTGGACAGTTTCTTTTTTTGTGCTGAAATGTTTCACCTTCGATCCAGAAGGCTTCATCAGTCAAGGAAACACACAACAAAGCTGATTTTTTTCCCCCCAACAGTTTACTCCAAAGTGGAACAAACGTTTCAGCACAAAAAATGAAACTGTCCAGATGACCTGCCTGAAAAATGTTGTATCACCTCAACACTTACTCATAATACAAAATATTAGCATAAAACTTTAGCATTAAATGCACAATTTTTATTTTCATATTTTTACCAAAACAACTATAATGATGGCTCAATGAGACTAACCTGTATAAATAAAGGTTGAATTAATATAACTTCATTTTTCAGCAGAAAATGGTTAGTCTGAAACTCTGTCAGTGGGAAATTATGCATTCCTTCAAAGATTGCTAGAACTTTAATTAGATTTACTCTAAGGTACTTAGATACTCGATACTTAGGTACTAGATATACTCTACTTTTCGATATGTTTAAAAAGTGGTTTTAAAATAGTTTAATTTGATTTAAGTTTTTTTTTTTTTTTTGCTTTCCCAATGTTCTTTTGAGCAAATATATTCGAATTAACCAAAATCTAAAGGCAGTTGGGTCTGAACTATGATGCATAATGTCATTGTCACAGTTTAAGGACAAAAGCTCAAACACCTACTGCGACCAGAGGAATATTTTAACATACTGTCCGTATCCGCCTTCCTACTTCCTACGTATGACGTCTGAACAACAGTTCTTGTTTCTGAGCTCTGATTGGTCAGATGGAATCTACAACCTCTCTTATTGGCTGAAAAATTGCCGCTTCTAGGCTTTTATTTTGAACATAAATATGATCAACTTCTCAGTCTTCCGCAGAGAGCAGATGAAGATCGGTTGGAGCTGTTTCGCTTCGCAAACAGATATGTGGTTTTAATAACTTAACGAGGCCGAATGAAAGTTTACTCCACGCGGGCCCACTGAGCCACCTACAACCGGTGCTTCGGGGCAGTTTTAGAAATGTTTTCTTAAATTTTCTCTCTCTGGCTGGTTAGCTTCCGGGTTAGCGTAGAGTCTTGTCTGCGCTGCTCTTCTGGCATGATCGTACGATCCGCAGCTCAAGTTAAATTTATCAAGGAGTTACACCGATTGGATAGCAGCAAAGATGGAGACCTGTTTTAGCAACACTAGCCCGCTAAAAACCGCCTTTAATGCCAGGCCCGATGGGATCCCCGGGCTTTCCTCGCTTGTTCTACCGGATGTGAGCACAAAGACTTCGCACTGCAGGACTCTGTTCTCCCCTGGTCCGGCGGCGGTGCTGTCTCCGGTGACCAATTTGGCTCTGGACATGAACAATTTAATTGGACTCGGAAGGTACTGTTGTTATTTGTCCTATATTTTTCATTTGAAAATGTTGCACAAGATGAATAGTTGTGGACAGCGACCCTTACTGGGCATTGTGAATATGACAACGTTTGTCTTGAATCCCGCAGCCAGTGTGACACCCCGAAAAGAAGGAAAAATGCAGCCCTTGACAAGATCCCCTCGTTTGCCTCTGATGTGTCATCTGATGCCGGTTTGTTTGCTCTTATTGATGCTTACTGCCAGAGAGCCACATGTTAGCCACTTACTTTATAAGTACAAGACGTTTTCATTCAACCTTTAAAACAGGTAGTCTTGAGTCACGAGGACTCCTTTTCAAGAGAGATCTGTTTTAGACAGATAAACAATTAAAATCAAAGTAGTTATAAAAACGGTCAAATCAAGATGTCGTATAAAGCAACGTGAAACTCATCTTTGTCTTGTTTCTAACCTTTCTATTTGAAAACAGAACTGTTTTTCTTTGTTGATATTTCTGTAAATGTGTTTGAGTTTTCAGTGTTATTTCTTTGTGTTTGAACCATCGCACATTGTTTCACATATGTAAAGTACATTTTGACGACAAGTCAATATTTGTAGGCAGTGGCACATTTCGTTCCTTTATTTATTTATTTTTACAGATTTTAGTTTAAAAAGTTCAAACTAATCAGTCTCACACTTAGAGAATGCAGGTGTTTTGTTTCTCTTCTTTGCCCTGTTTCTTGCATGAAAGTGATCTTCACGTCTCTTCCTTCAGGCCTTGGTTTGGATCTCCCCAGCCCTGTTGATGGGGAACTGGAAGACGCGTAAGATTGAATTAAATTTTTTTACGTTCCTGCTGACTATTCTTATCAGTTTGCTCTTTTCACCCCTCTAAAGTCCCACCCCTGAAACTTATGCTTGGGTTCATCTTGGCTAAACTCCATTTCTTTTATTTCTTCCACTGACTGATAAGTGTCTGAGTCATATTTTCTTTGATCAAACTGGCAGAAAAGCAACATGAAGACAGTTGTGTGTTGGTTCTTTTTACATAAAGCATGGTAAACATGATGTAAACACAGTGGAACGTGTCACATGCCTAGCTCTGAGCAAGCTGTTCACTGAACACAGCCCCCAATGAAACTGGTTTGCAGCAGTTGTGCTCAACATTATCTTAAGCCAAAGCGACCATCTTATCACAAGCAGAACTGGTTTGTTCCACTTTGGAGTAAGCTGTTGGGGGAAGAATCAGTTTAGTTGTTTCCTTGACTCATGAAGCCTTCTGGACCCAAGGTGAAACGTTTCAGCACAAAAAACCCAAACTGTCCAGATGACCTGACCGAGAAATGTTGGATTGTGTACCTGGATTATTGAGCATGGACTTTGTTGTCATCTTACGCAGTTTGTCAGCATGTTTTTGCTGCCTGGTCTTGGGTGGCCTTTCAGTAGTGGGGGGAGTGCAGGCATCTGCTGCCGTCCAGTATCTGTTCGTTCACGTCTAAGACGTTACTCGCCTTCCTCACAGCTGTTGCTAAGAGGTTTTCAGTTTGGGGGAGGATATGTTCTGCACTTGGGCTGAATGATACTCATCCACTTTGGGGGTTGGCACACTTTTCCTAAGCAGTGTTGTTTCTGTAAAGGGGGGGGCAGGCATTTTATGTTTGCACTATAGAAATGAGGGCACCACCATAGAACAACCCCCCCCCCCCCAAGAGCTCCTGCAGAATGGGCCTCGGCAGCTGTGCCTCCAGCAGGCATTTGGTAGCTGATCTCAGCCTCTTCTCTCCTGCCCCCCCCCACCCCCCCCCCCGCTCTGGACGCTCAGCTCTCAGCTGTGCTGGTTTAGCATACAGGTGGACATGACTCTGATGAAAAGGACCACCACATAATTTCCTTAAGTCTGACTATTGTTTCTGGAACATTAGACATTTATTTGTAGTTTAAGTTTGGGGTGTTTCTACCAGCAGATGTCCTGATGCATGCTCAATAATCCAGGTAGTTAAAATCTAAAAAAGTTAAGTCTGCTCCTCTGGACATTCAAAAAACAAAACAAATATCTAGAAAGGTTTTTGTCTTTCATCTGAAAGACTCAGACTGAAGAAGTCTTTTGGATGAAAGTCAAAATGTTTCTACTTTTTTTTTTTTTGTTTGTTTCGTTTTGTTTTTTGAAAGTCCAGAGGAGCAGACTTAACTTTTTTTAGATACCAGCAGATAATTTGACTTATTAGAACCGTATATTCTGATGGGGAATCATCATCATCATATGTTTTAACAGTTCCTGATCTCTGGCTTGTTCCAGGTTTGAAAAGGCCATTCAGCAGTCAAGCAAAGTTATTAATGAGTGAGTTGCTTTCCAATCTGTAACTTAAACAACTAACTGTAACTTAAATGGTGTTGTAACATGGTTACCATGATGGTTATTTTAATTTGTATTGTTTATTTTCTATCAATGATAGGAAGATGCCAATTCGAAGAATCAACTCACTGCCAGTAAGTTCTTTGTAATTGTTGCAGCCCTTCATGTTTTTTTGCTATTTGTGTCATTATTAACATTCAGAGCAGCAAACGCTGAGAATGTGGCTTGTTTTTCTTCTCACTTTGTGGTTGTCTCTTTAAGTAAAATGTGGCTCTGGATTAGGGCTGGACGATATGGCCAAAACTTTTCTCACGATATATTTCTTAATTTCGGTCGATAATGATATAATTCAATATAGATATAAAAAGAAATGGTAAAAATGATATAAACTTAAGAAATACGCTAAACACTAATAGTGCAAAACAATATGCTGAACAACAGCAGCACGAACATGAGTCTGTGTGGGAGAAGTGTGAGATCAGCATCATGGATAATCAGCAGCACCTATCACCAGTCATAGTGGCATTACATGTCCAACATCTTCAGGGTAGAGTAACAACAAACACACATTGTTGAGGGGTGATGATACATGACAGCCTCTTCTGGCAAGAAATACAAGCTGGTCTACGTTATCTGTCTTCAAAGATGCCCTTTTGCAAGTGACCGTGTTGTCACCTGTACTGAAAATCCTCTCAGATGAGGAACTTGTGGCCTGAATGCACAAGTAATGGTTTGCCAGTTGGCTTACTGTGGGGAAGTTCTTTTGATAGAGCTTCCACCAGTCCAGAGGATTTGAGTCATCATCGGCACCTGGAGACAAAAGGTAGTTGCTGAGCTCCCTCTCAACTACCTGCTTTGCACTCAAGCCTCCTGTGTCGGAAGTGGTGGGCCTCTTTGAAAAAAAGCTAGACAGAGACTTCTTTGTTTTCTTGGCTGGAGGACCTGCTGCAGAAGCATCTCCAATGTCTTCTCTAACCACAACAGCTCTCTCTCCCTTCAACATCTCCAACACAGCCCTCTCCTTGATGTACTCTTTCTCCTCCTGCTGAGTGTACTGAAGCTTGAATCTTGGGTCAACGAGGCATGCCACGTCAAGTAGATCATCCATGGCTGGATCCTTGTACTTTTCGTTGAGGTATCCCATCACTCTCGTCTTTATGCTTCTTGTGAGCTCTGTGTCATCCTCTGCTTCCTTCAAGATGGAAGTGTTGAAGAGATGCATCACTGGTTTTAATAATGACACACTGACGCAGGACTCACCGGACAAGGCATCAGTGAATTCCAGGAGTGGGCTTAGAGCTGCATCTACAGACTCTAAAATATCCACATCTTTCCACGTAGGAACCATTGACCTGGTCTTCTTGTCCTTTGAGAGGACCTCTGTGATGGCCCTTTTCTGCTCCAGGACCCGCTTCACCATTTGTTGACGGGAGCCCCATCTTGGTGGTGTTTCAGTGATGAGCTTGTGCTTTGGCAAGTGAAACTCCTGAGCAGCTGCAAGGTCCCTTTTCTTTTTCCAAGAGGAGGAGAAGGCAGCCACCACCTTTTTACAGACCCCAACTGCTCTGTCCACTCGCTTGTCTTGGTTAACTTTCACTGTAAACACAGAGGGGAAAAAAATTGCAATATAATATAAAACATTTGTATTTATATTTCAATAAAAATTTGTTCATTATTCTTAGAGAAAAATCGCAATTCTCCTGATTTAAGTATATTTGATTACATCTGATTTTAAATAGAATAGGAACAGCCTTTATTGTAACCACAATGGGGAAATTCAGGTATCTGGTATAAAGGTTCACGCACACACAAAAAAAATCATCAAATTTAGCAAATTTTCTGCTCCCTTATTTATAAGGCTGAGCTGAATACAGCTTCTCAGACTGGATGAAACGTTTCTACTTTTTGTTGTTGGTTTTTGAACCCGTATAGAGGACCAGACAAGAAATGACACTTTACTACAGTGTAATGTAGTGAGTGTACAGCTTAAAATACAAAAATAAATACAATTCCTGTAGGTTAAGCCTATTTTGTGTGAAGCATGTTGTATTTGTTAAATAAATGATTTTAGTAATAAAACTTCATACTACAAAACTACATAACACTCAAGTGTATTTTAACTGGATAACTTAACAATGGCAGAGTTCAGTCGGTGTCTGAAGCGTTGAATTTTTAAAAAAAATTTAATTTAGCCTTTATTTATCCAGGTAGTCTCAATGAGCCACAAGAACTCATTTTCAAGAGAGACCCGTTTAGGGATCAAATGGGGGTTAAGGGCCTTGCTCAGGGGCCCAGGGTGGGGCGAATGAGGGTGGGGGAAGGTGTGGGTGCTTCACCTACCCCACCCACATTTTTGATGTTGTCTGTACCGGGGCTTGAACCGGCGATCTTCCGATCACAGGCCCACCTTCTCTAACCTCTGCGCCACCACTCCCCCTATTGTAGTCTTGTCCATGTGTTCAACTCGGCTGCTTTGATGATGTTGGTCCCACTATCTGTGGTGATGCAGACCTGGCGGTCGTCGCCGAGTCCCCAGGAGGCGAGCGCATCTGTAAGTCCGGCTGCAATGGTTTTGTCCGTGTGATCCTCAGGAAAATAGACCGTCTGGAAGCATAAGCTGACAAGCTTCCAATGTTGGTCAATAAAGTGAACTGTCAGGCTCAAGTATGGTTCCAAGGTTCTGCTTGACCACAGGTCAGCTGTAGTCGAAAGTTTCGACACCGACTTTAGTTGCTCTTCCATCCTTCCTCTAACTTCACCATAAAGTGCAGGTATGGCTGTGCGTGAAAAATATTTCCAGCCAGGGAGCTGGTATCTGTGGTCGATGATTGGCATCATTTGTTTGAAACCCACATTTTCCACTGTAGTAAACGGCATCAAGGTCTCTCTTGAAAATGAGTTCTCATGGCTCAATGAGACTACTTGTATAAATAAAGGGTAAATAAAATCATGTCTTTCGCCAAGAAATTTGTAACGGCCTTTTATGACGTTTGGAGTTTTTGTCATGTGGCATGAATACAGCAATCTGCGTTTGCTGAATGGGCTTCTCTTGATGCAGCTGGGGCCGGGGATGTTGTTTCAGGGACAGGGACACGTTGGCTCAGACTTTTCTTGTGTTTCATCTTCTGACTCAGATTATTCTATAGAGTGCAAACTCTTCAGATGGTGAAACAAGTTAGTTGTGTTCCCACCACTAGTTGGAACGAGACTCTGGCATATTTTGCAGCGCACTGAAACCTGCTGTTTATCGGATCTCTGAAAGCCGAACCACTTCCACACCGCCGAATTACTCTTTCCTCTCTTATCAATTATGTCGTCGTCTTTCTCTTCCCTTGTGAATGCTTCTTCAGTCCCATTCTAACGGGCACTCATTTTGAATCCAAAACTTTCTGCGTGATGTAGATTAGCCTAGCCTGCTACTCGCGCTCTGCGTAACTTCTACGGCACCACGCACTTACGTAGTTGTCGCGGCTTTTTCTGTTCGGGTTGAAACGTCAACCCGAACAGAAAAAGGAATGCGTCTGTGAAACGCTGTAATCCTAGCGTAATGTACATCGAAAATGTGCTTAAAACTCACATCATCGTTATTGAATAGAAGTATATCGCAAGATATATTTATATCGAATTATTGTCCAGCCCTACTCTGGATCTATTTTTGGTTTGGGACATTCTTTCATTTACTAAAATCCACATCATTTACCTGTTGTCAAATCAAGCTAGTTTTTTGGACCGTTCCCAGTGTTTCTCATCGACTTGTAGGTTCTCTGTTAAATGCAAAAAGCTTTGTTTCTAAACTTTGTAATATTTAAGACCTGAAGATTAATCTAGTCATACAGAAAAGTATTTTTTTTCTTCTCTCCCCTTAAAGCTCACAGAACTTCACTAACTGGTTCATTCTTGTCTCCTCTCAACATTAGCTCCAGCTCCTGGGCTTCAGTCCGTGTCTGAAAGGACAAGAATCGGACTCTAAACGTTATGGAATATTCGGTCATCAACCATCTCAACTAAATTCCTCATCCATCTCTCAAGATGACAACAAAGAGAACATGCCAGAGGTCAGTGACAGTTTTTGGTAGAACGCGTTGTGAAAATGTATGACAAGAATCTATAGCAGAGTATTTATTGTCAGTGCTGAGATCTTAACCTGTTAATATTCAAGATTCTTGCCATGGTGAAGGCATCGTATCTTTTGAAATAAATTAAGTTCCTTTGTTTTCGAATCACTCACGTTTAGTAGTAGATAAGTTTGTCTGTACTGTAAGATTAAAATAAAAGAAACAAAAAAAAACCTTTATATCTGGAACAAAGATGAATGCCAGCAGGGATATTGTAAATGGCACAGGTTTTCTTGATTTTAAGAGTTCAGAGTTGCTTCTTAACATTAAAATAGTTTTCCCTTTTTTGTTTTTGTCAGGGAAGTTTTGAATTCAAAAAACCATCCAAGCCCGTGTCACGGAGTCGTGTGCGATCCTTCAGTAGTGAACGCGATGGCTTTGCTCTCCGACCCAGCTCAGCGCCCGCTCTCATGGTATGAACCTGAGAAACATCTGTCCCTGTTTGCTCTGGAGGTTGTGACATGGTTTTAGAAGGAGACTGACTTTAAGCGCCTTTTTTTTCTTTATTTTTGTTCAGTTGTCCTCGCTTCCTGCAGTCCAGCAGCTCGACTTGTTTGATTCAAGCCCCGGGTCTCTGAGACGCTCGTCCCTCGCCTCCTCTCTAAACGACTATGAGGATGATGGCTTTTTAGAGATACTTGAGGACAACATGGAGGTCAGTTGGTACTGCACTAATGATTATGGATTCATACACTTAGATCTTTCTGTTTTACTGTGGTGTAATGCCCTTGTAAAAAATAAAAAAAAAAATATATATATATATATATAGATATGTGTGTATGTGTGTTAGTTTATTTATTTTTTGTTTCTAGCAGGACGACTCAGGGATGCCATCAGGGATGGCAAACTTGCTCACTGCGCCGCTGATGTCTGACAGCATGGGGGATGACTCTGTAAGTTTCCATAACAGTTTCAGTCAGAGTTTAATTGCTAGTTGTCTTTAGAGTCAAGAAAATGAAATCTATTCTACATATTTTCTTTGTTTTCCCTCAATCTTTAGCCTGTAATCCGCTGTCGGCCACGCAGCCTGTTTCGTTCCCCCTCTATGCCCAGTCCAGTGTCCCGTCCCTCTGCAAAGCGCCCTGACTGCCCAGCCGATGAAAACACGCCTGTTCGAGTAAAGAGACGACGGAGCCTGGCAGGAACCCAAGTCACCACCCTGGAACAAAACACTGAATCTCCAAGAATGGTGAATTTAGTGCTTGGATGAACGTTAACAACACAGCAATAAGCTCAGTTGCCACAGCCTAATGCTGGACATGACATGTGACATCCGAACCATCTCTTTACACCAAAAAATTATCAGAAAATTCTGCATTGGTTAAACTTAACTCCTTCAGTTGGATTTCAGGTGATGTAAAAAAAAAAAATCATTCAAGGTCACAAATTGGTGGCAAAAATATAATCTCAGAAGAAGGTAGACATTTTTAAAATGGCTCATTGCTTCTCCAGCTTTCTTCAGAAGTCTTTCTTCTTTCCTTCCAGAGCTGTTTCCTGCTCCAAAGGTCCAAGTCTTTCTGTCAAGCAGAGATAGAAAAGTTGCTTGATGGGCAGAGTGGCTCTAATGAATTAATAGGAGATTTCACTAAGGTAAGAAAGACTTCAACTACTAATGCCCCTTTTCCATTAGTACCTTTAGTACCAGTACAGCACGGTTGGACTCGGCACGGTATAGACCCTTTTCCACAGTTCCTCCTTGGCCCCGCTTTACCCTGCTCAGGCTGGTTCCGTGTTCTTTTCCACACGGCCTTCTTTGTGGAACCGGCCTGTTCTTTCAGTACCTACTTCTCTGTGGTTCCATTGAGGCCAAACAGGACTTTAAAATGTGATGTCAGCACACTGTCTGTTACTGATTGGTCAGGGGGCGGAGTCATTAGTCGGAGGGCAGAGTTTCAGAAACTTCCACCGCAACCCGATCCGCCATTTTCTTTTTAACCTGCCATTAGAAACAACTCAAATCTGGAGGAGTGTATTTTGGAGTATTCTGAAGGTATAAACGAACAATAATGTCACAACTGTGGTCAAATGCTGAAGTTCAGGCGTTTTTGTGTTTGCTGGCCCATGGAAAAAGTTCAGAGCGAGCTAGATGGAGCGACACCTAACGAGAAGGTTTGTAAATGGGTGTTGGTGTGTTGATAATGATCCTCCCACTAAAGGGGCACTAATGGGCACTGTGGAAACGAAAAATGAAGCGATCCGATCTGTACCGGTCCAATAAGGGCCGAGCAGGACCTATGCAAATGAGTCATACGAGTTGTTTCCATTATACTTTTAGTAATGGTTCTAGTGGGTGGGGATCATGGTACTGAAGGCAGACGTAATCAGGTCTCTCTTGTAAATGAGTCCTCGAGGCTCAATGGGATTTACTTGTCTAAATAAAGGTTGAATGAAAGACGTGAAGTCCACAAAGAGCATACGGACGTAGGAGTCCTTCTGCTCCAGGTGGGTGAGAGCAGTGTGGACCACAGAGGTTTAGTGCCAGTTGGGCACGCTTGGAAGCCCAGAGAAAAAGGGACCGGTTCTATGAACTGTTATTAGTGGAAAAGCCTTGGAACCGTGCCAAGTCGATTTGAACCGTGCTGTACTGTTACTAATGGAAAACAGCCATAAGTGTGGTTTTAACTTGAGTAAAATATATTTTCCAGTCCAATAACATATTTTTATTCCTTTTTAGCCTTTTGTGTTTCCCACAGTGCCGGGAGATCATCAAGACCTCAAATACATTACGTCAAAAATGGTGAGTAAACATTATGGCTGTGCATGTTCAGTATTTTTACTAAAGTTATCTTCACATGATTATTTTTTAAATATTCAGCATAGTCAAACCGCAACAGCAGAATAACATTAGGATGTGATTCTTATGGTGTTTAGATGGAGGCAGCCCTGACCGGCCAGTTTGATCATCTAATTGAGCGGATCATCCTCATCGACTGCCGCTATCCCTACGAGTTTGAAGGTGGACACATCAAAGTAAGTCCCACCTGGAAATGTGTACTCATTAATCTTACTGATAATACCGACATTTTAATGCACTCATTACTGGTTGTTGGAACATTTCCTCTTGGTGATTGTCTTAACTTCATATTTAGAGTGAGTATTTCTAGCACTCTTAAATGTTTTAATCACAACAGAGGTTATGCAGTAAGCATTTTGATTACTTGTCTCAGGGAGCTCTAAACCTGCACCAGGAAGACCAGGTGGAGAATTTTCTCTTGAGAGCCCCTACTGTCCCATCCTGCCCAGACAAGCGTGTTGTCGTCATCTTCCACTGTGAGTTCTCATCGGAACGTGGCCCTAAAATGTGCCGCTTCATCAGGGCCCAAGACCGCGCCATGAATGACTACCCATACCTCCACTATCCTGAGCTCTACATCCTCAAGGGTGGATACAAAAACTTCTTCCCTCATTTTCAGGTTCGTTTGGTTACAGCTTTTCTTTTTCTGTCATTACTGTTTCTCTTCCCAATATGTAAGCAGTCAGGATTACTTATATTACACTTACATGCAATGTTTAATTTGTAAACTAAATGATGCTGAAACTCGAATGGGGGTGTCTGGGGGTTCTCCCCCAGAAAATTTAGAATAACGTAGATGGCATTTCCTGCATTCTGGTGTATTGGTGTATTTTAACGGCTGGTTAAACATGTATGTTTACCTACATAAGTTTCTCTCCCTGTGTGAATAGAGCACGCTCTGCTTCTCTCAAGCATCTTACCCCCTCTGCCCCGCGTCAAGTACCGTCACCACTGCCTTCATGTGCTCCTATAATGAGAAGACTTTTGTTTTAAATTAAAGTAAATTAGACTGTCTTTTCGACATTTTGATTGCTAATATTTTGATAAATTTGTGCTGTTGTTTTGAAACGTGAAATACGTCACGTGATTTACCCATAAAACATTTCTCGTATTATTAATAAATCAAAATTTTATTATTGACCCACTTAAACTGTAAAACGGATTTTCAATTTAGTTGTGCGGTTTAATTATATTTTTGTTTTTTTAATTAAATTGCCCGTGATTACTTTTAGCGGCAGAGATTTTTTTAAGGGTAAAAGCAGAAAAGCTTACTTGAAGGGGCACCTCTTATGTGATATTAGGGAGTTTGTGAGTGGCTGTTATGTTTAAAATTAGTGTTTATGTAATTATTTTCAGTTTACATATCTAGTATGGGTTTTATCCTTTCAAGGCAGTCACATTTTGTTCATAATTTTATTATTAGTAAGCCAGAGAGTTACTGGATCCAAGAAAACTGTTACTGGAATGCACCCTGTCAAAATAAGAGTTCCTGGGTCCTGTTCCAGCGGGATCCAGCTCAGATTAAGCCCTGGTTAATTGCAATGAACCTTATGTATGTAGAAGGGTCCAAAAGGCTTGGTCATCTGGAGCAGTCACCTGTTCTGTAATCCTTTCTGCTGTCGCATGAAAACTTGTCTTTTCAACAACAAAAAACTTTATTAATCCCAGAGGGAAATTATATGTTGTGGTAACTCATCATCCTGGTTTCATTAAAGAGTTGTTCTAGATGCTGATGGCTGTGGGCAGGAAGGATCTCTTGTAGTGTCTGTCCTACAACGGATCTGAAGAATCCTCTGACTGAAGACACTTTGTTGTTGTATGACAGTCTGATGAAGAGGATGCTGAGGGTTGTCTATAATGTTCTTCATTTGATGAAGAATCCTTCTTTGTACAATCATCTCCAGAGGTTCTAGAGGAGTCCCCAGAACTGAGCCAGCCTTCTTTATGAGCTTGTTGATCTTTTTTAAGTCACTTGCTCTGGTGCTGCTCCCCCAGCAGATGATGCAGAAGAGACAGCGCTCTCTACAACAGACTTATAGAAGATATGCAGCATCTTGCTGCAAACGTTGAAGGACTTCAGCTTCCTCAAGAAGTACTGTCTGCTCTGTCCCTTCTTGTAGATGCTTCACTGTTGCATTTCCAGTCCAGTCTATTGTCCAGGTGAACTCCAAGGTATTTATACTTCTCCACCACCTCCACTTCTTCTCCCATGATGGAAATAGGGTTGGACCTGTTCCTGATTCTCCTGAAATCTACAATCCTCTCCTTTGTTTTGTTCACATTCAAGATGAGATGATTTTTTCCACACCATGCCACAAAGCGGTCCACCAGTTCCCTGTACTCAGCTTCTTGTCCATCTCTGATCCACCCGACCACTGCAGAGTCATCTGAATATTTCTGCAGATGACTGGAGTCTGTTTTGTACTGGAAATCTGAGGTGTACAGAGTGAAAAGGAATGGTGAGAGTACAGTCCCCTGTGGTGCTCCTGAGCTACTGACCACCTGGTTAGACACACAACCCTTCAGTCTCACAAACTGTGGTCTGTCCATCAGGTAGTCTTTGATCCAGGTGATTGTTGAGGCCTCCACCTGAGTCTTCTGAAGTTTCTGACAAAGCAAATCAGGCTGGATTGTGTTAAATGCACTGGAGAAATCAAAGAACATGACTCTCACAGTGCTGTCTGCCTTTTCTACATGACAGTGAGTTTGCTGAAGCAGGTGTATGATGGCATCTTCAACTCCCTCCCAAGTCCACGCTGATAAGCAAACTGCAGTGGGTCCTGATATGTGCTTGTTTGCCTAGTCAGGTGGGTCAGCAGGAGTCTCTCTAGGACCTTCATGATGTGGGATGTCAGGGCAACAGGTCTATAGTCATTGAGGACTGATGTGTGAGTTTTCTTTGGCACTGGAACAAGGCAGGAGGTTTTCCACAACACTGGAACCTTCTCCTGGGTCAGGCTAAGGTTGAAGAGATGCTGCAGAACCCCACAGAGCTGCTCTGCACAGACCTTCAGGACTCTGGGACTGACACCATCTGGACCTGCAGCCTTATTCTGGTTCAGTCTCTCCAGCTGCTTCCTCACCTGACTTCTGGAGACGCAGAGGGGGGAGGCAAAGGAGGTATCAGCATCTTCTGATTTGGTTGAAGACCAGTAAGTAGAAGAAGGGTCCATGACTGAGGTGGTAGATACAATATTTGAGGTGTGACAGGACAGCCTTGGGTTAAAGGAGGGTGGTATATCTGTTTGGGTGTGGGCAAGAGAGGAGGATGCTGAGCTTGTTCCTGAACTGAACCTATTGAAGAATGTGTTCAGTTCATTGTAGAAATGTGCGATATGGCATAAAATTCATATCACGATAAGTATTGTGAAGGGTGACGATAACGATATATATCGCAATATGTTTTTAGTATAAAACTTGCTTTAAAATAAAGCGTAGGGTGTCCCTTTGCCATCATATATTTTGAATTAAGAAAATTCCACTACTAGGTCCAGAGAGTTTTTAAATAATAAACAAATCAAGTATTAGGCTTCTTTCCTAAAGTGCAAAACGGTGCAACAGATCTCAAATGTAGTTTTAGCCATATGTTTTAAGCAAAAAAAATATGTTGTTGACTCTTAACAGTTTCCAGTATTCTCACTTAAGAAATAAACAGCAACAGAGCAACATTTTACACTGAAACACTTCACCCTCCAAACCTCTAGTGGGCGTTTCCTTTCGCTTTAATGGAGAGCTGACAAAAAATGAGTCTGTGGCTTTGACCAGAGTGTCTCGCAGTAAAATCACACAACACAGCGTTCTTTTCACAGATCAGAGAGCAGGTTTCTCTAAAGTTGACCAACGTTTACTTCAACTTTCGATTGGGGGGGGGGGGGAGAGACTTTAGACGGAACACAACGTTTTGTGCATGCGTCAGAATACGGCAACACTACGGCAAGCCGGGCGTAGTTAGCTTGTAGCTTCGCTACTTAGCCCTCGAAGAAAAGACTTTAACGCCACTTGCGCATAGTTGTCAACTAAAAAAAAGTAACGATTAAATCTGACAACTCTGTTACATCAGACACCGCATTACTGCGGTTAGCCGGTAGAAGACAGATCTCTATCGTAGGCTAAATTTCTACCGTGTACCGTATATATCGCACATTCTATTCTGATCCTCCTTCTGCTTGAAGCCTGTGATCTGTTTCATCCCTGACCACACCTCTCTGATATTGTTCTGTTGGAGCTTGCTCTCCAGCTTCTTCTTGTACACCTCCTTGCTGTTTCTTATCTTGACTTTTAGTTGCTTCTGTGTGCTCCTCAATAATTCCCTGTCTCCCTCCCTGAAGGCTCTTTTTTCTGGTTTAGCAGTTCCTTCAGTTCAGTGGTGATCCAAGGTTTGTTATTGGGGAAGCATCTCACTGTTCTGGTGGGGATGGTGTTGTTTACACAGAAGTTTATATAGTCGGTCACACACTCAGTCATGGCATTGATGTCCTCTCCATGTGGCTGGCACAGTGCATCCCAGTCTGTAGCATCAAAACAACCCCGCAGGGCTTCTTCAGCTTCCGTTGACCATTTTCTCACTGTTCTCTTTATTGCAGGTTGCCTCTGAACAAGGGGTTTATATTTTTAGCAGAGAAACACAAGATTGTGATCTGATTTGCCAAGAGGGGGTCTTGCTTTAGCGATGTATGAATCCTTGACATTTGCATAAAACAAGTCCTGCATTTGTTTTCTCTGGTAGAGCAGCTGACAAACTGTTGGAATGTCAGAAGTGTAGTAGAGAGTGAGACATGATTAAAATCCCCAGATTTGCAACAAACGCACTAGGGTTTTGTGTCTGTAGCTTGGCAACCTTGGAGCTGATGACATCACATGTAGTCTCTGTAACAGCATTGGGTGGAATGTAAACGGTTGATAAAATAACACTGGTGAACTCTCTCTCGTATGGTCAGAAAGCCTGGCAAGGAAACGCTGGAGTCGGGGATATGATCCTGCAGCCATGTCTCAGTGAAACGCATAACACTGCATTCTCGATACTCTGGATGGGTCCTTGTTAGGGCTTGAAGTTCATCCAACTTGTTTCCCAGCGATCTCACATTGCCCATCATGATCGATGGAAGAGATGGTTTAAACTTCATTCTTCTCTCTTTGTCCCTCTTCTTTGCTCCTGCTCTGCATCCACGATGCCTCCTTTTCAACTCATTTGGGATTTGGGGCTGTAGTTGAGATATTATTTGAGCTTTGGAGATGTTAATCAGCTGCTCCCGGTTGTAAAAAAAAAAACAACCTTGTTATGGTTACGCATCATAACAAATGTCCAAAAGCAAATATATTTCTTTAAAAATCCCTCCAGCTGCACAGCATCTGACACCAGAGGAATAATCATCCAAAAAAAGTGATTTATATCCAGAAAAAGAGGAATTAAAGTTTTCAAAAGTAATATCTCAGAATGAAAGTAAGAGCTGCTCCAACATGCAGCCACCTTGAGCGGCGCTATTCTAGAACTACTACTACTACTTTCTACTTTCCTCTAAAGTATCCTGATGTGCCCTCAATAATCCAGGTAGAAAAATCTAAAAAAGTTAAATCTGGTCCTCTGGACATTCAAAAAACAAATCTAACAAAAAAAAATAAAAATTCTAGAAACGTTTTCGTCTTTCATCCGAAAGACTTCCTCAGTCTGAGGTGCTGTATTCAGCTCAGTCTTATAAATGGCACCTTCTCGACCATCAGCCTAACAATGGATCATTAGCACCTGATGGCTCTTTACTATTCACAGAGGGCTGAGTGATACTAGCAATAACAGCATTGTAAGAGGGGGACAGTTGAACACGGAGGCTCCACCCCTGTTTAATAATGGACAATTTCTTATGCTGTTATTGCTAGTATCACTCAGCCCCCTGTGAATAGCAAACAGCCATCAGGTGCTAATGATCCATCGTTAGGCTGATGGTCAAGAAGGTGCCATTTATAAGACTGAGCTGAATATAGCACCTCATACTGAGGAAGTCTTTCGGATGAAAGACGAAATGTTTCTACCTTTTTTTGTTTTAGTTTTTTTGAAGGTCCAGAGGACCAGACTTAACTTTTTTAGATTTCCTCTAAAGTGTTTTGCTCCAATTGCAATCATTGCAAGTAACTACTTAACTGCCCTCATTGATTATTTTAAAATACAGTAGAACCTGTAATTATGAAGTGAATTTGTTCAAACAGGTGATTAGAATGTAACCTTCTCAAAATTCTTGTTGATTTCGCCACCTACATTGACTTTTTTTTCTCTCCCCACTTTGGAGTCAGTAGCTGCGCAGGCACGTGGTAGTAGCTCAAATACTACATTTTAATTTGTCATAGTACAGACTTTAATCTGCACAACAGTTTTTGATAGTGTTGATTGTAGGTCAAGTAAACGCATACAGTACACCTCAGTTTCCAAATGTTCTCCATCAGAGACCTCACAGTCCAAGACTTTTCCATCTTCTCGTGTGAACTTTATATATTTATCCACAGTTGATGTGATCAGTGAAATGTTGCCAAAAGCAGAATGACAGAAAGATCTTTCAGTTCTCAGGCTCCTCTCTTGTGGAACCAACTTCCAGTTTCTGTCCGTGAGGCTGACACATTGTCCAGTTTTAAGACTGGGATTAAGACTTTTCTTCTTGATAAATCCTATAGTTAGGGTCGGCTTGTTATGCTGCTATAGACTTAGACTACTAGAGGACAAATTGACCTCATTTCCTAAAATGAATTGTTAAAATTGAATAGTTTTCATTTGATACTATTTCTATCTTAACATGTGATTCTTGACCTGTCAATGTTTATCTGTCATTGTTTCCTATTCAAGGTCAAAGTTCTTTATTGTCATTTGCATCATGTGGTACATGAGGTGGAACAAAATGTTTAGTCAAGGTCCCAGAAAACCCCCAAATCCTCTCGAACCAGCCGGTCGAAGCAGATGGTCCTCTTGTCCTGATCCTGGTTCTGCTAAAGGTTTCTTCCTCATGAGGGAGTTTTTCTTTCCACTGTCGCCTTCATGCTTGTTCAAGATGAGAGTTCAGTGATGGAGTTCAACTCAAAGCTGCTCCTCACATAAATAATGTTAACATATTTTATACATACCAGGTATATATGAATGTTTCTGTTCAGTGCCCTGACATGACTTCTGTTGTGACTTGGCACTATTTAAATAAACTGAATTGAAATGTTGGACCTGTTACTTTAATTTAAACCCAGGAGTCATCAACATACCTGAACCAATGACCCGGGCGGGCAGGGTTTCATAATTTTTGCTTAAAGTGAAGAAGAAGAAGAAGAAGAAGCAGCAAATGATGGTATATAAAACAGTGCGTCTTGTTTTTCTGCTCACCGGCAGGTTTTGAATCATGACTGCACAGTGATCTTGTCTTGTTCATAAAGTCTGCATGCTGTCAGCATACAGGCTTTATTTCTGTTTCAAGTTCAAGTCGACTTTTATTGTCGTTTCCATCACATGCGGTACATGAGGTGGAGCCAAGTTATGCACAGGGTCCCAGTTACACCCAAAAATAGACGAATATAAAGTATATATAAAAAAATAATAATAAGGATCTAAGATATACGCTAAACATTAATAATGTAAACCAATATGGCGTAACAGCAGCCGGAACATGAGTCTGTGGTGAGCAGATGGGTATGAATGAATACAGCAGCATGGATAATCAGCAGCATGAGATAATCAGCAGCATGGATAATCAGCAGCATGAGATAATCAGCAGCATGGATAATCAGAAGCATGAGATAATCAGCAGCATGGATAATCAGCAGCATGAGATAATCAGCAGCATGGATAATCAGAAGCATGAGATAATCAGCAGCACAGATAAGTCACAAATCACCAGTTAAAGTGGCATTAGTGATTTTTTTTTCACAGTGATTCTCCTGGTTAGAGATTCATGAGTCTAACAGCTTCAGGGTAGAAGCTGTTCCTCAGTCTAGTGGTTCTACACTTAATGCTCCTCAACCTCCTTCCTGAGAGGAGTGGGGCAAAAAGTGTGTGTGTTGGGTGAGTGTGGTCCTTCATGATGCAGGTGACCCTCTTCCTGCATGTGGAGGTGTGGGGGTCTGTGATGGTGGAGAGTTGTAACGAGCAACAGCAAAATCACAAATGATTAGTTTCAGTCGCTTCTGGTTCAGTGAGTTGGGGTTGGTAGGCAGGTGAGGATAAAATAATCTTTTGAAGAGCAGTGCCGTTTAAATCTGACTCGTAAGATGGGAGGGAGGCTTTAGTTCCAGGAACTGTTGCCCTGGGTCCCAGTGCAGGACTGGGAGGACTCACTGGCACTTTAAAATGTAGTGGCAGTGAGTCAGGACATGGGTACTGTACAGGGTTGTGCTGCATGAGGCAACAGTTTTCTTTGGGTGATGTTGTGCACAGAAGCTTTGCATTTTTCCCGCATGTTGTTTTGTGCACCCCTCCATGTAAGCACCTCCACTTTCCTTCCTTTGATGAACTCTCCCAGCTGTTTCTGCTGCCCCACTTCTTTTGTGCTTAGCTTGTGGTTGTGCTCAAGCACCAACTCGTCGGTGTCAATGGAAGTGTTTATCCAAATCAACCGCAGCATTTCATCACGTGGTCTGTGTCTGCTAACCAGTCATTCCTTTTGCATGTCTTCTTTATTTCCCCTTTTTCCTTCAAAATTGTACAAATTGTTGAAGATACTCGGCTGAAGTCTTTCCAGGTTCATAACGTGCTCTGCCCTGATGTCAGTTTTTTTCACCTCAGTCGTCCTCTTTCTGGAGGCGGTCTGGTTTTTTAATGGCCATTTTAACAGGCACAAAACATTAGAAAAAACCCCATAAACAAGACACATCTGTTGGTGACATGATGCACATGTGGGCAAATCCAGGGTTTGGAAAACATTTTTGGAGCTGAAACACAATTTGTTTTGTATGGGGTGAAAAAAGTATTTGAATGCATTATTTATTTTTTATTGTACTTCTGAAAAGCCATGTGTCCAATCCCTGCTGAACCGTGTCCCCCACAGGATGGTCCCAGTACAAGTTGTATGTCCTGCCTCATACCATGATGGGACGCTGCTCTTATTAAACCAACCAGGACTGTGTTTCTATCCAGGTGTTGATTCACCTGTCCGTCTGTTCAATGAATCATTTGCTACCATGACTTACTGTTGAGGAAATGTTTGCACTGTCTGCAGACACTTCAGTGTACTTCTTAATGTTTTCACTGTTCTCACTGTGTCGTTCTCCTGTGCAGTCCCAGTGTGAGCCTCAGTCCTACCGACCCATGCTCCACGAAGACTTCAAGGAGGACCTGAGGAAGTTTCGCCAGAAAAGTCGCACTTGGGCTGGGGAGCGCAGCAAGAGAGACATGTACAGTCGCTTGAACAAGTGACCGTCCAAAGTGGCCGGCCGTGACCACATTCAGCACGACCTCCTCACGGAGCCCAAGGCCTCACCCACCAGCAGCAACGGGCCATTTTTTAAGGTCCCAAAGTTTTATCTGGAAGAAGGTTAGAAGAAATTTTAAAGAAAGGAAAGATGTGAACTGAGGATGCAGAGATGAGGACATTTTGTAAAAAAAAAAAAAATTCTTTTTTTTTTTTAAACCACTTGGACCTACAGTCTGTATTAGTTTTTATTTTTTTAAATATATTTTTAATGTGTTGGCATTAGTTGTACATTTTGTTTTAGATTGTGATAATATAACCAGACCAACCTGCAATGATTTGAAGTCTCTTTCTGTCTATTCTATTTTCTCATGTTTGATCCTATTGAAGCACTTAATTTCAATATCTTCATTCAGCTTGATGCTTTTTGGTGCTGTTTTCATTTATTTTTTGAGTTAACCATTCTGATCATGTGTTATCCTTCTATTACTTCATTAGTAAGTCCCACAAAGTAATTCAGATAATTGAAAAAGATGAATTAGACATTTTTTCTTTTCTCTTCTTACTGATCAGTTGCAATACTTACTCATTTTCTTGGATGGACACCAAAGCATACAAAACCTACCTGTTTACCAAAAACTAAGATTATTTTTGATGCTGCAGGTCAGCAAGAGTGAAAAGATTTTCGGTCTAACATCTTTTAACTATTTCCAGAGATGAAATGTCTTACCCTCTGCAGAACCAGTGTCATCTATGGTAATTGTTTCAGGTGGCTTTAATATTTTTGGTACAGGCTTGTGGGGAAGCTGCTGAAATAAAGATCCAGTGTGTGTTCAAGAATCAAGTCGCCTCTTTCTATCAATTGTCTTGTGCAGAGCTTGAATTTTGAAGTTTTGGATTGTTTGTTTGTTGTGGGTTTTTTTTGTTGTTGTTGCAAGGTTCCCACTTGAAAAGTGTCATTTTATTGGAGTGTTTTCTTGGTCTGGATGAATTTGGTTTAAAAAAACAAAAGTCTTGTAAATGGGCTGTACTTATCTAGCACCTTTCTATCTTATTTCAAGATACTCAAAACTCTTTCCAACAATCTGTGCCTCATTTACCCATTCATACAGCTCTATACTAGATCTCTACAAAGCTAATTGAACAAATCATTCTAAAGAGACTAATCAGAGCTTTATCACATTCATACACTGATGGGACACACATCAGAGGCTATGAGGGGTTCAGTGTCTTGCCCAGGGACACTTCAGCAGGTGACTGCTGGTGGATTTGAACCCTCAACTCTCGCATTGGAGGACCACTGCTCTAACCACTCAGCCACAGCCTCCCGTTGTACGTTTTCTTTCTGAAAATAGCGCAATAATTGAAAAATCATACAAATGTGTTTGTATGATGGTTTTCCATGAGGTATTAATATGAATGTTTTTGTATAGATCAGCCTTGGCCATCTGCTCCTCAGTGGAGCAGTTAAATGAGTCGAAAAGTTCATGCTCCAGGTAAAAAACATTCAACAAAGTTAAATCTGGTCTTCTAGATGGCGCAGAGGACCTGACTTCACGGTAACTTGGTTGGAATCTTTACTTGAATTTTTGAGCATGAACTTTGATGTTTTGAACCAGTTTGTCCACTGCTGCCGCAGAGGAGTCGACTGGGGAGAGGGCGGACTCCAGAAACCATCTGAGCACCATCAAACTGGTTGAGCCACTATGTGAGAGTCTCACTTGGTGCAAGATGAAAGTTCTGCTAGGAGCTTGGGCACAGACTGAGTTCTTAAAGTGGTCAAGAACCCAAAGATGTAGTTTACAACAACTGCAACAATGACAACAAATTTCTTAAAATCTTTATTAAACTATCATCTGATCTCCAGTATTTTTGTATTTGCCTAGAATCTGTTGCAGATCTTGAATAGGGTGAGTCCAAATGTTCTTCAGCTGTAGCTGTACATCCAATAATAACTTCATGAAATCTTATGCGTTGTGATTCATGAGATATTTTGCTAACCATAAGCTGGACGTAAACATACAGTAGTTGCTCTTGGAGCAGGAGGCGTATGTCTTGTCTGTCTTTGTTCGGTGTTTGCCGCTTGTGTCACAGATTTACAATAGATGTTTTGGTATCTAGAATGTAAAAATGGGCCAAGAACAACCAACCAAGAGTTCAGAAAATCTGCGAAAGTTTAGAATGTTAACATTAAAAAAGCACAAGAACTTTACTGTCACTCATTTGATTTCAAGTCAGTTGAAAAGTGTTTCCATCTATTTCAGTGTTGGCTTTCCCCAGAAAGCAACAGTCCGTGTTAAATTCAAAAAGCGTTCAATACAAAAACAACTGGACTTTATTTGTAACAGAAGACATTTCTCTCCTCATCCGAGGAGCTTTCTCAATTCAAAGAGCAGTGAGTGAGAGATTCAGGTTATGAGGCTGAGTGAGATAAGACACACACACACGTAGATTGGCAGTTCACACCTAAACAAACATTAACAGTAAGAGTCTTTTGTTCTTCTAATTCACTGACGAGGCCCCTCTGTTCCCATCAGGTGTGAAAAACCGGCTGGGAATCTGTTTTAAAGTTGCATTATAGGTTTTTGAAAGTGGAAATCTGAGGCCTCCTCCTCTGTTAAGAGACGGCTTTTCTCTTTTTACATAAATTGCTTCCTTCACCCCCCTCTCAAACCATCTGTGTTCTCGGTCCAAAATGTGCACATTTTGGTCCTCAAAAGAGTGTCCCTTATCTGTGAGGTGGAGGTGAACAGCTGAGTCTTGTCCTGTGGAGGTGGCTCTCCTGTGTTGAGTCATGCGTCTGTGAAGAGGCTGTTTAGTTTCTCCAATGTAGAGGTCTGGACAGTCCTCGCTGCACTGGACCGCATACACTACACCACTCTGTTTGTGTATGGGTGTTTTGTCCTTAGGGTGGACCAGCCTCTGTCTGAGAGTCCTGCTGGGTTTGAAATGTACTGGGATCTTGTGTTTGTTGAAGATCCTTCTGAATTTCTCTGATACTCCAGCAACATAAGGGATGACAATGTTTTTACGTCTGTTGTTCTCCTTTTTCAGTTTATTGGTGTATTTTGTAGATTTCCTCGCTGACTTGACAAAAGCCCAGTTAGGATATCCACATGTTTGAAGAGCTTCTTGAATGTGTTTCTGTTCCTTTTCCTTCCCTTCTGTCTTTGTGGGGACGCATTCGGCCCGATGTTGTAAAGTTCTGATGACAGAGAGTTTGTGTTCCAGTGGATGGTGGGAGTCAAACAGAAGATACTGGTCTGTGTGGGTTGGTTTTCTGTAAACTTCAATGTTGAGGCTGTCCTCTCTTTCCATCTGAACCAAACAGTCCAAAAAAGGCAGCTTGTTGTCGTTTGCATCCTCTCTGGTGAACTTGATGTTGTTATCGACCGAGTTAATGTGTCTGGTGAACGCTTCTATTTCCTTGGCTTGGATTTTGACCCAGGAGTTCATGCTGCTGACGATGGGTCTGAGTGGTGTTCCTTCTTTGTGTATTTTTGGGAGTCCATAAAGACAGGGAGTGGCTTCCCCATGGGTACAATCTATAATACAAAGATCGATTGATTGTTTTCTCCTTTTCAAGTTTTTGCAGGTAATCTGTGACTTTCTTTTTGTAGGCACTGGTTGGGTCCCTCTTCAGGGTCTCGTGGGTGTTGCGGTCGCTCAGTAGTGTAATTATTTTTTCCCGATAATCAGAAGTGTTGAGGACTACTGTGCATCTTCCCTTATCAGCTGGTAAAATGGTGATGTTTTGGTCCTGGCTGAGTGATGTTACAGCTTTCCTTTCCTGTGGTGTGAGGTTTGAAGGAGGCAGTTTGGCACTGGAGAGGGTTGCTGATATTTCCATTCTGAGCTGTTCTGCCTCTCCTTCCGTCAAGTTGTTGTTCCTAATCGCGGATTAAGTGGCCGTGATTAGTTCCACAACAGGTATTTCTTGTGGGGAGATGGCAAAATTTAGTCCTTTTGTCAGCACATCTTTCTCAGGTTGTGTCAATGTCCTGTTAGACAAATTTCTAACCCACTGGTCCTGAGAATTAGTGTTGGCGACAAACTCCTGATCTTGACTGATGGTTTGTGATGAGAAAACAGCTCTCTGTTGTAATTTTAGAAACTTACTTTTTTGGCGTTCCTTGTGTAGATGAACAGATGCTGAGATATATTCATCAATTAAAACGGATTCTTTCATTTTTCTGGACTGAATATAAACGTGCATTGAATTTAATGAAATGTGGACGTGAGACGTTAATTACCTTTGACTCACCACGACAGTGGGTCATTTATTAACAGAATCAAGTTTAACACATCAAACATTTACATTAATTTGGCAAAATATGAAAATAACAACATAATTAATCAGCAAGCTGTACAATTATGATCAAGTATCCACACGGCGGTGGATGAGCACTTTACACAGACATTTCTAAAATATCTGGAATGATTTCTACTTGATAGAAGAATTTAAAGATGGAAAATGAAGTTTAAAGGGAGTAAAAGATGGTGTGTGAGGGAGAGTGTTGACCAGAACCGACACTCTCCATTCGAACCCAGCTTTCCTCGGTACGCTCGGTAGTGAACTTGACTCGTTACCTCTCTGAAGATGAATCAGCGGATACAGAGTTCCAGTTAACGCTACCTGTCCAGCGTCTCCATAGGATGGCTGTGACTCGTCCGAAGTAGTGACGATATCCCGTCTGACACAAGTTCACCTCAGCCAGTGGACCTCACATGAGTGGGGTTCGTCCGAGTTCCACTCAGAGGGAATAGATGTTATAATCCCAATCTCGGAAGAGCCTTATCATGGCTGGACTTCTGTTCTCCCAAACGACTGGAGCTGCAAACTCTCCAGCCCGACTCCAACGGCAACTCACAGAACTGAAACTTCACAGAACTGAGAGAACTAGGAAGTACCGACATTTTAAAGGGCTCTATTTCCGGTTCATTTGGGAGTCCCTGATTGGTCAATGTCGACCAGACAGGGGTGTGGTTTGTGACGTAAGAGGTTACTAGAAGTCAGAAAAACAGCAAGAATGTTATAGAACAGATTGAAACTGTTTTCAGACAGCCGAGAGAAATGTTTGGGCGAGTTTGGAGAAACAGGTGCCAACTTCTCTGTTTACGTCTGAGAGGATTTAAAAACAAGACAGTTGTTCCAACACTTGTC